CCTCTCTGCGACAATTAGCCATAGCCTATCTGAGAGTGATTCACCTACCCAATATACAGCATTCTGCTTTTGATCCCATTCTTTCTTACTGGCGCGGGGCTGGGTCTCACCTGGCCTTGGAAGTAGGATATCACCATGAAGAGCTGTCCGTGAAAATGCGAAAATAGGATGTAGAATACCATATTCAGGAGCTGGTCCGGCGAAATAATCAGACAGTAAAAGTAGGTCAGGGTGCCGACAAGGTGACAGTGGACCGGGTTCACGAATGAATTTAATACCGTCTGTCAATATATATTAGGCGAGTCTTGTGAGATAAAATATCTTTTAACGGACCAGTAGTGTCTAGATCCTGAACTTCCATCTGAACAGGGTCCTCACGGGCACAGGCATCCATCCAGTCACGAAAATCGTAGAATCCACTCGTATCTTCTTCTCCCAAACCTTCATTGTCGTCGAATTCCTCTCCTAGTCGCGAGAGGTCGTCCATATCCGCTCTGAGTTTAGCTGGGAATGGATTTCTCGCTAAGTCGATAGAAAATGTGAAGCGAAGATCCGGGCTATACGGGTTGAGTAATGAGGATATTTATGACAATAATATGCTTACAGTGGCTCCGTTATTTCTGATAGTAGATTGGCGAGTGGCTGCGATACAGTCCTGGCATAGAATAAACCACGATCACTATCTGTCATGCCACTTCCAACCCTGCCTTTGCGAATGATCATAGTGGTTGTCATGGGTGAGCCTTCGAGACTAGCTTGTGTTTTCCGTAATAGTCTCGGGGGAATAGGCTTGTAAAGGTTTATAGAATCCAAAGAAGGCATTGGGCACTGGCGAGGTAGTATATCAAAAAATATCGGATAAGAGGATGGCGGTGGTCTTCCATATGCTCGATGATAGGTATCATATGCCTCTTTCAACTATTAAACTAGTTAGGACGCTCATTCAACGCTCTAGTGACTTACGCTTGAAGGTCGAGCGTCCATCAAATTCTTCCACTCCTGTTCTGCATGTGATATGATTTGGAGGAGCGGGTGCGACCCCTCTTGCTCTTCAATGTGGACGAGTCCGTCCATTGCTCCCGATGTAGAGGTTCCTCGATGATCCCAATTTGAACTTCTATGTTGCCTCAAAGAACCAGAGTAAGAAATGTTACGATCTGTCTTTGGGATAATGTCTTCGTCGTTGTCTTCCAAGAAGCTTAGGTCATATTGCTCCCGTGTATCGTAGATTGCGAAATAACAAAAACATAGTAGTAGTACTAAGGAGAGCAAAACAAAACGTTTGCGCCGGAAACGAGCAGGGAGTGTTCTCCGTATTATTTGTAAATAACTTGCATGTTCTAGGGTGATGTGCGGGAGGTCGCGTCTAGGTCGAAGCTTCGGTGAAGCCGGCATTTCTCGTTGGTTTGTAAGAGTAAATAATCGGCTGTATTGGCATATAATTGAAAATATAATAGTAGAGTACAGGTCAAGGAGTGCGGGGGTCAAGGAAAGGGTGAGAGGAAAAGTACTGGGCGCGTCAACACCACCGAATACCGGGACCGTACTCAGCAAGAGCACAAGTTGGCTTTCGTTTTTAAGGAGGGATTTCAGAGTGTATATTTATGACCAAAGATGCTAACTTGCATCAGGAGTTGCGATAATACTGAAAGCCCACCCAGTTGGCGATCACGAAGTACGCCGTCCAAGGGATGAACAGAGGTGCCAGGTACTTGTAATGACTATCTAGAAGTATGGCATCTATAACCTATACAAAAAAAAAGGTGAGCTTCGACAATCCCTCTCCTCGGTAGACCAAACATCGCTTACTCGTATCCCTGTCAATGGTCCACCGGAGAAGGCCCAAACACCCACAACAAACATGGAAAATGTCCCAACGAGCACTCCGATAGCCTGAGTCCTCGTCGGTTCCACAGGAAGCAGCTGTGGCATGCTAAAATGCTAAACCTGATCGTGGCGACCACGATCGTCGGGTTCACAAACTAGAGCCAAATATTTGCCCATCTTTTTTAGCCTGGACCATGCCTCCAAAAGGATTCAAGACAATTCCGTTGCCTAAAGCACAACTCTCGCTCGCAGCGGTGCTGAAATGCGGACAGTCTTTTCGTTGGACGACCTATCCTCTTGCAGTCAAGGAGAACAGTGGCGGAGACACCCAGGATCCAACTCATGAGTACCGTTTAGCGCTCCGGGATCGCGTCGTCTGTCTGAGACAGGATGAGAACACTCTTTTCTACCGAACAATACTCCCCGTCGACGCGTCTGACGCGTCTGTTGCTACTGCCGAAAGCAAAGACGAAGAAACTCTTGTATGGCTTAAAGACTATTTCCAGCTGGATGTAGATCTAGTCAAGCTCTATGCCGAATGGGCAGACAAGGATATCGTTTTTAGAGATACCGTTAAGGACAGGTTCAGTGGTATTCGCATCCTCCGGCAAGATCCATGGGAGAATGTGATCTCGTGAGTCGAAATATTACCCTCGGCTCACCTTTATAACTTTTTGATTCGATATAGGTTCATCTGTTCATCCAATAATAATATTTCTCGCATCACAAAGATGGTTCAGTCACTATGTACCTCATTCTCCAAGGAGCTCCTCAGCGAAACGTTATCCGACGACTTCGAGGATGCAAATTCGTTGCATAAATATCACGCATTTCCTAGTCCCCAGCAACTGGAAAAGGAAAATGTAGCATCGAAATTGCGAGAGCTCGGTTTTGGATACCGTGCAGAGTATGTTCAAAGAACTGCCCAAATCCTATGCGAAGAGCACAAAGATCCGGAAGCATACCTCATGGGATTGCGCAAGCTTCCGGTTGATGAAGCTCGAGATGAACTATTAAAGTTGTGCGGAGTCGGTCCCAAGGTTGCAGATTGCGTACTCCTCATGTCTCTGGACAAGGTCAGTCATTTCTACCTGTTCTTGGCCCAACACCCATCTTAACATCCTGCAGAAAAATGTAGTTCCGGTAGACACCCATGTCCATCAAATTGCGCTGAAGTATTACGGATTGAGAGGCACCCCTCAGGGGAAAGGAGGAAAGGTACCAATGACCCCGAAAATATACGAAGCCGTAGGCAAGAGACTAGTCGAAATATGGGGAGACTATGCTGGCTGGGCTCATTCAGTACTCTTCACGGCTGACCTACGAGCCTTCGCATCGTACAATTTACCTGCCCCCGATAACACACCAACGAAATCGTCACCTGCCACTCCTGCGACGCCCGTACCACCTACTCCATCCGACAGTGGGACAGATTATTTTACAGATACCCCCTCGAAGAAACGTAGACAGGCAACGGAACGCCCATCTAGACTTAAACGTGTACGGACTGAGTGATATTCACTCTTAGGGAAGAATTTAATGTCCATAAAAACTGTATTTGTCGATAGTCCATGTATCATACTGAAATCCAAATTCACGAATAGGATTTATATATCGCTAGAAATCCCAAAGATTAAATTCGACGCATCTAAAAAATTTGTAAGTCCAAAGCTCTGGGGTGAATGGATTCACTTACCCTGTCGGTGCTATTGACGAGCTTGCGATCAACATCGTCGACAGTCGTATGCAGCTGCTTAAGCTGCTCGTTTTGTCGTTTGACGATATCACCCTGAGCATGCGCCAGAGCCTTGATACGACCAATACCAAGAGAAAGCTCATCCAGGTTATTGGAAAGTTCGTTCTCCATGGCATCATCTTCTTCGTCGTCATCGCGCGATTGATATTTAGCCCACTTCGCCTTTCGAGCTGCCATCTGCTGCGCATTAAATCTACCTCCTCCACCAATCTCTTCATCATCGTCACCAGGAGGACCGTCACGATTGTTTCGGCTGGTTGCACCTGCAACCTGATTATGGGTCTCCATCATTCTAGCGTTGGTTGCATCCCGTTCCGCTTTCTCCTCTTCATAACGCCTGGCCATCTTGGCGTCTTGTTCTGCTCTCTTCTTCGATTTGTCAAAGGTGATAGCTGGAATGAAGATGGACCGATTCAAGGCTTTGATGTCCGATGTGTTATCATCTGCACGTCGAATATACCCCTTCGAGCTTTGCAAATGGCGCTCAGTCATGCCCAATTGCTCTGTACTTAAGATTAGCTAAAACTATCCGCGAACCACACGCCAGACACGTACCAGACTGTTGGCCGAGTTTCAACAAGGTATTCTTGCCTGTTTCTTCAGCTTCTCTCATCATTCGGAGGGCTTCGCGTGTGGACTGGACACTCTGGTTTTTAATATCCTTCGTCTTTGTTTGAATTGATTCGAGGTCTTCTTCCTCGTCTTCACCCCCAGCGCCACCACCTCCGCGCTCATCATAACGATTGCCCCCTCCGGCTCGGGGTTGAACGGTAGCTCCTGCAAAGAGATTCGCACGATCTTGGTCTAGGTCGCGAGCCCCTCGAGAGTAGGCATCGTTTGGCCCTCCACTCCTATTGTAGCGCTCGGGCATGGCACGGACACTATTGGCCTCCCTAGCGATGGCTTGGGCACTTGGTGGAGGAGCGGCTTTGCGGAGGACATTGGATCTAAATGCCTCCTCGTCATCATCTGGTGTATCGTATTTGTTGCGCTGTTGGGGTCTGTATCCAGATTGTTGAGGGGATGGTCCCCGGCCCTGACCACCAGATGGTGCGAACAACTCGCGGCGGTTGCGGTCATATTCATCTGGAATATAGTCATCAGCAGGAGGATTATAGGAGTTTGCTTGAGGTTCTGGAGTTTTGGGAGCAGATTTGCTACGGAACCAAGACATGTTTGCGGAATATGGAAGGATCCAAGTTTGTTGCAGTGCTGTTTGGACTTTTCCAAATTGAGTAACGACGATCAATTCGTGACTAAAATGTAAAACAAAATCTTTTAAAATGAAATTATATGAGCTCTCGAATAGGCAATATACTTTGAAGGAGAACGCTATCTGTTTGAGCAGCCCTCGCTTGTCTTCGACCATGTCCACCACCGAAGTGGCTGAGCCTCCAGAGGCCCAGAAGCGGCTCACAAAAGCCTTAAAAGGAAAGCATCACTTGTTCGCAACAGGAGACACAGAGATTCAAGAAGCGGCACTCGCAGCAGCCCAACAAATCTTTGACTCTGGTAAACGAACGAGTAAAAATATCTCGTGCTAGGTCATGCTAACAAGCCTTTAGCTCTCTTTCAGGAAAAGAATGGGTTTCATAGCATCAAGAACTTTGTCGGCTCGTTGGTGAACGATATGAATCAACAACCTCGGGAGACCCGCTCGCAAAAACAGTCGCGCGAGCAACAAGGAAACGCTGTGCATCCAAAAATGGCCCCTTCTTCATCCTCTTCTTCGTCTCCCGAGTTTTCATCATCATCATCATCACCTTCTTCGTCCTCATCTCCCTCCCCTTCTCCTTCTTCGTCCTCATCTTCTTCGTCCTCGTCATCTTCATCATCCCCAATTGCTCCAAATGATCGCTTCAATTCTGTCAAGCTAGGGAAAAGCCCATCCTCTTCATCTTCATCTTCATCCTCCACATCTTCCATGTCTGCGAATGCGCGACGGGCCGTGTTCTTTATTAGCTTGACCTTGACCTCTTCATGAAACCGAACTTTGGACTCTCGCCGTTGTAAAGTCGGTTCTCCCGGATCTTGCTTTGACTTTATTCGGTGGGAAGCATTGGTGACAAATCCAGAAGGGGGATCAAAGAAGTCGTTGAACATTATTGCTGTATAGGCGTTAAGCATGCATGTACCTGAACACGTCACGTTTGACTTACTACCGTCTCCTACGTCTCCATCGTCATCCATCATATCCTCTTCGTCCATCTCGGCAAACAGGTCTACACTTTCCTCATCCTCAGTATCATCGTCTCCTCTGAGCTTGCCTCTCGAGGAGGATTTGGCTTCCGCTGATTCAATCTCTCGGTTAAACTCGGATATAGAAAAGAATTCGTCATCCAGAGTGGGATGCCGGGGGCCTTTTTGTTTTCCGTGGTTTGCCTTTGCCGCCTTTTGACCAGAGGTTCTGTTCAGGTCCATATTCCATGGAAAACCTCTACTGGGCGACTTGTCAGTGCCACTATTCAGAGGTACAACATGTTCGCCCAATGGTTCTCCTTCTGAACTTTCCTCAGTTTCATCCCCT